CTTTTGCTTTTAATTAGGCTCTTTTTAGGCACAATCTGCTGCCATACAGTTTGGTATATCTTTTTATTGTTGCCTGCACATTTCTGATGCTCAGGTACCAAATGGTTTAATATATTTGGTGTTATCATTTGTATGTATGGCAGATACATGAGATCTATCCAGTTGGCTTGGACACTGAATACCATGTGTATATTAAGACTTCTCTAAGTTTTGTGCTTATGTAGTTTGTGTGTGCCACCAATACAAACCAAGTACAAAGTCTTGTGTAACTTGGATCAGAAGACATCTAACCAGTCATATTCTTGTGTGTTCTGTGTGTGTGTATGTGTGTGTATATATATATATATATATATATATATATATATTTATATATATATATATATAGAGAGAGAGAGAGAGAGAATGAATATATTTGTTTTTAATTAATATGAATGAACTTTGCCTTCATAACTATCTGATGGCAGAATTAATCAAATATGCTGCTCAATGCCAAAATCTATTTTGAAACGGGCTCATCACTTATCTGAACTTTTCAAATACAAGGTCAGTGCTGTATTAATTCAATGACCCCAAGGGCATTTAAAAAATAATTTATCCTAATGTGCTGATTTCATTCCTTGACCAATGTAATGTAGCAGAATTTATGACGATGTCTATGATTATGTGTCACTATCTTGACTTAGGTATTTATTCTATTATTATTCAGTAACCCTATTTTTTCACATCACTATGTCAGAATTCTTCCTCATGGTAGGCACATATTTCACAGATGAAAAGGCATTCCCTGTTGCAAACTAAGTACATTTAGAAACACTGCAGGTGATTGTATTAATTGTTAGTGATCAGATTTTAGGAAAAAAAGTATTTGTCTTGTACCTGTAAAGCGTTTTAAAATGTAGTTTATAGTGTGACACTGTGTGTAAAATATACTTTATCATAGCACCACAGTAGATCATTGTTTAATCAGTACCATCCCAGCCCTTTTCCAATGAAAGAGGATACCTAGGCAATCTGCTGGACCCAATGGGGTTTATTTACTAAAGCTGGAGAGTCCAAAATCAGACTCCCTTCTGCATAGAAACCAATCAGCTTCTAACCTCAGCTTGTTCAATGAAGCTTTGGCAATGAAACCTGGAAGCTGATTGGTTTCTATGCAGAAGTGAGTCTGATTTTGGACTCTCCAGCTTTAGTAAATAAACCCCAATCTGTCCTAGCACATAAAAGCTTGATAAACTGGGTACCTGTCCAACGTCTTGCCATTACTGTGCTTTTTGTGAAGTAAATGTGTCATTTAAATGTGTCATAAGAAAACTTAGGCTGCACTTGTGGACCTCTTCTGAAAATGCTAGAAAGCTGGATGTCATATTCACCTTCTGATCTGAGTACTTCCTGTGTCACTCATCCAATATGCAGAGTCTTAGCTTCATTTTCTGCATGCTTGTTTTGGGGTAAGTGACTCAAGGTATCAAAGCTAGATACAGCCAGGCAACAAGCATTTCCAGAAGAAATTGCCACCTTCATATTTTCTCATATGAAAAGTGTCCTTTAATTTCAGTGCGTATAGGTGTCCTTCTTTTCATGTGTATGGATTCTTCAGCAAAGTTAGCAGTACTTACCTTCTCTGTATTACATAAAGAAATTGTGAAATTGATATTGAAAATATGACTGATCATGCCAAAAGACTGTCTTTTAAAGTGTTACTAAACCCAAGACCCTGCATTCACTTTATCTGGTCTCCCGCAGTACACAGAACATGGAAGTGCAATTATTTTAGTAAATATAAACTGCTAAATACCTTTTCTCATCAGCAGTTAGAGCAGTCTTGTAACATCAGCTGAGCACTGGTTAAAGCTTGTAGGAGGGGTTTTCCTTCTGCTCTAGGAGGATGCAAAACCCCTGACCTCTGTCTGGACAGTGCTTATTGGCCCTGTTCTGATCACATGCACTCTACCAAGAAAAAAAAAGTGTGTCTCTAGCAATACACACTAAACTGAGCATGTACAGAAGGGCTATGGGTTCTGTCTGTCTTATCAGCGTGGACATTTTAACAAGAGGAGGGGCAGAGAAGTCAGGATCAAACAGCCTTTTTACACAATGCAGAGGATTAACCCTTAGGTTCCACAGTGAATATAACAAGCAAGTATAAGAAGCATGCTTTGCTTCATATACATACTGATTTTACTTTTGTGGGTTTAGTAACACTTTAACCACTTGCCCTCCTGAGGATTTACCCCCCTTAATGACCAGGCCTCTTTTTGCTACTTGGCACTGCACTAATTCAACTGATAATTGCGCGGTCATGCAATGCTGCACCCAAACAAAATTTACATCATTGTTTTCACACAAATAGAGCTTTCTTTTGGTGGTATTTGATCACCTGTGCGCTTTTTGTTTTTCACGCTATAAACAAAAAAAATACCAAAAATTTTGAAGAAAAACAATATTTTTTACTTTCAGCTATAAAAAATATATAGTAAACTCAAAGTTAGTTATAAATTTAGGCCAAAATGTATTCTGCTACATGTTTTTGGTAAAAAAAAATCCCAATAAGTGTATATTGATTGCTTTGTGTGAAAGTTATAGCGTCTACAAACTATGGTATAGATACTGCAATTTACGCCATTTTTTTGCTTTACAGCGCTGCGCTAGTTTAACGGACAATTTCGCGGGTCATGCAATATGGTACATAAATGAAATTTACATCCTTTTTTTCCCCACAAATGGAGCTTTCTTTTGGTGGTATTTGATCGCCTGTGCGGTTTTTATTTTTTGCGCTATAAAAAAAAGGCTGACAATTTTGAGGAAAACAAACAATATTTTAGACTTTTTGCTATAAAACATGTCCAGTAAAAAAAAATTTAAAAATCAAATTTAGTCATAAATTTCTGCCAAAATGCATTCTGCGACATGTCTTTGCTACAAAAAAAACCCAATAAGTGTAAATTAATTGGTTTACGTTATAAACGTTATAGCGTTTACAAATGGCGGGAAAGATACTGGGATTTTTAATTTTTTTTATACTAATAATGGCGGAGATCAGTGACTTATGGCGGCAATCAGTGACTTATGGCGGTGATCTGCGACTTATGGCGGGACTGCGGGACTGCGGCGGACATTCTGACACTGGGGGGGAACTGACTTGGGGTCACTGACATCCCCAGTGACACCAATACAGTGATCAGTGCAAAAAAAAAAAAAACACTGACACTGTACTAATGGCACTGGGGAGGAAAGGGTTAACTTTATTATTCAGTGAAAGGGTTAACTGTATGAGAGGAGTGTTTTTACTAGGGGGCGGGGGTGTGTGCTGGACGGAGACACACTGATCCAGACAGATAAACTCTTCTGTCCCGATCAGCGTGTCAGGAGCTGTCAGGGAACTGACAGAAAGCACAGCTACTGCAGCTGTGCTCTCTGTCACTGATTGCCGCTAATCGCCGTGACATAGCCGGTAACGACCGGCTGTGACCCGGCGACTGACATTCACGACGCCGTGATCGGCGGGACAGGTAGGGCGGCGGCGCGCCTTGCGCGCGCCCCCCTACCTGTTTTGAAAACACACGTCGTCATTATGATTTAAAAAGGAGCCAAACAGATATGTGATAATAAATGGCTTCATATGATCAGTTCTTTACATGTCCTTGTTGCTGATTTCCTACCTTCAATGAATATGTCATCCGTCTTCTGGTTCACTCCATAGTTGCTTTGAAATAGCCTATTCATTTTCAAATCAAATGGTTAATTCTCTTGGTTTCCTGTTTGTAAGACCGGTGAATGCTATGACTCCCATTCCCCCAGTTACTGGTCTTGGCATATCCCTTCCATAGTTGTTTCTGCAGGAAGCAGTGATGTAATTCAGCCCCAGTTGCTGTGGTGGGCAGACCAAGACTCTCAGACACACGTGCAGGCCTAGCGTACCCAACCACATTCACTACAATTCCCTGTGGTTGATGGGAACTGTAGAGAGGACATGATGTAATCCCTGCTGTTACACCTCCTCCTTGGCAGAGCAGATGCTGTTATATTTTGAATTACAGAGGTGAGGTAATAAACATTCAATTAGACTCCTAAATAGTAAGGATATTCAAAATGTCATTAGCTGTTTAGTGTAGGGGGTGTATTAATGGGTGATTTTTTGCCTATCTTGGAGTTTTTCTTTAAATACATTTTTTTTGGCATGATCAGTCATGTTTTAAATGTTATTGACAAAAATTTGAAGCAGAAGTCTCTTTCAGTATAGAAGTTGTTGCTCCCCCTCACATGCCCCTTTGTCATGAACAATATACTGAAGAAGTGAACAGTGTGCTTCTTCACTATGCAAAAAATGTAAAGTAAACTCATAAAAAAGCAGTTAACAATCTCTGCCAATAGACAACCTGCCTATCATTACAGACCTCAAAGGTACATTTGGATCTTAACCGAATAATAAATCTGGAGATGCAGACAGGACTCAAATACTTACATGGTGCTTCAGTTTTTAATTTGGCCATAGCTGTAGTACAATCTTCCCCAATTCCTTTTGCCAGTAATCTGTTGATCTGAGAGCACCTTTTTACGAAGCAGGAGGAGAGTTTCTAAACACCCCTACTGGAGGCTTGTGCCTGTTTCAAGCCTGATTAACCATTGTTCCAGTGCACCTGCATAGGTGTAAACGAAACCTAAATTATAATGTAATTGGTGATGCCGGAAGCAGACATAGGAAGTTATAAGTTATGGTTTACAATAATGCTCATCCAGTGAGTTTTGTGAGGTGTGCTCTGGATTCTGTGGGATACAGATAATTCTGATTAAGGTAATTTGAGTAAAATGGGGAATTAAACCTCCACTGATACTAAATGGCAGTACAGGAAGCAGGATGTAAGTAAATGTTTAGTCTTGAAAGCCATTTTACACTGCAACTCTAAATCTCATATACTAGACAGCCTTCTGTACATTATTATAGTTCTCAGGTTTGCTGGTACCCGAAAAGGAGACTTTTAATAATATTTATTTTCTGGTCTTTGTAGTTGACATGGAAGATGAATTGTCTCAACAAAATACAAATCATGTGAACTTTGGTCAGCAGCCCATGCCCGGTAATACTCCCGAAAGGCCTTCTTCCCCAGGACAGCACTCTCTGAGCAGTCAGCCACCTGTCCGGACACCGCTTCCTAACTTGCATCCAGGACTTGTATCTGCTCCCATCAGCCCTCAGTTAGTAAATCAGCAGCTGGTGATGGCTCAGTTACTGAACCAGCAATACGCAGTGAACAGACTTTTAGCCCAGCAGTCCTTAAACCAGCAGTACTTGAACCACCCTCCTCCAGTCAGTCGATCAATTAACAAGCCTTTGGAGCAACAAGTCTCGCCCAACACAGAGGTGTCTTCCGATATCTACCAGTGGGTACGTGACGAACTGAAGCGGGCAGGAATCTCGCAGGCAGTATTTGCACGTGTGGCTTTCAACCGAACTCAGGTAAATAAAGTTCTGCTTTTTGCTGTATTTATTTTTATTACACTTTTTTTCTTTTTTGTTTAACAGAAGTGTTTGATGTTGTTCATTTAAAAAAAAAAAAAACAGCACTGTAATGGAAGAGAAATAATTCTTGAGCACATGGTTTGACATTCAACTTTCAGTGGCATAAATGGATGCATTTTGGTGGTTGTGTGTGTTTGGACAATCTTGTTGTTCGTTTTTAGCAACACTTTTACAAAAGTGTTTTTGATGGTTGTAGATGGTAAAAGCAGCTGTTGGATGAGAACATGTACAACAGATATTTCTGTTTTCATTAACAAATGTAAAAAGAGCTTGACAAGTTCCCATTCACAAACATTTCTTCATATTTGGTAGATGTGCACAAAGCTTGTCTTTGATCATTTACTGTGCAATAAAGGCAATGTTTAATTTATTTTTTTTGTCCTAGTCCACCACTGTATAAACTAGAGTGGACCCTATATGTTCCTTTTATAACATTGCTATGCACATTGGTCTGTACATGGGGTTTTTGTTGTGTGTTTGGTGAGTGGTGTATGTGTTGCTTGTGTTTTTTGTGCCTTATTTGAATTTAATGAAGTGGAAAATTATGGCTTGCACAGTTTGGGAACTTTTGTTTTACATCTTTGAATAGATTGTGGCATAGCGGTGTGGACTTTAACATATTGCACACCTCATGCTAGATATACAGTATGACTGATATATGAAAACTGGAGTAAAGAAGGCATCCTTACAGCAAATATCCAGAATTTTGTTTTCCCCATTGCATATTAGGGACTAAAAGTTAAAATTGGTTGCCATGAGCATATCTCTCTTTTCTTTTGACCCAGGGCTACATAAGTCATGTTCCTGTTTTTTGTTTTTTTTTAAATCAGGCAATCAGTAGCACCAAACAATACTCTTTAGAAATTGAGGGAATCTGCTATGTATCTGTAAAGTCTTGATTTTTTATGACACCACTACAGGTTTAAGAAAAATAGTTAATGTTGATATCAGAAATTAGATTGAAATCATGTTCCCCAATCTCAAAATGAGCACCTCTTGACTTCCAAAATTATGGTTCTGTGTAAATTATCATATATCAAAATCCATTTGCATTAATGGCTATAGAGATAGTTTTACATTTCTGCAGCCTAAATACAATATGTTCTCACTTTATTCAGGGATATAAATTATAACTCTATTTTTTTGTTTTTTTTTTGGAAAATATGCATTCTTCTAAGAGAAATAGTTATAATTTTATGTTGAATTTCTGTTAAAGTACAGACCCATTTATATTGCAAAAAATACCTGAAATTAATTGAAGAAACACAAGGCCTCATAACTTTGTGCTCGTGTACAGGGTTGGTGTTTTCCTGCGTTTGAGTGTGTTTAACACACAGATCAAAAACAAATCAGCAAATTCCCATTGACTTTATCGGAGTAATGTAAATGAAAGTTCAGAGGTTGTGTTTGATCTGCTTTGCACTGGATTTCTCAGCAATTCCTAATGAGATATACTTGGACTGCAGGCAAGGCAGGTCAGCATAGTCCTTTCTTGTCACGCACTGTGTTTTGAATTCCATTGCATGCATGTGAGCCCTTGTGGACGAAGATTTGGTCATGCCAGCCAATGTGCTTCTTACTTGTGCTGTTCAAGTGCATGAAGAAGAAAATGATTGGTTGCTTATTGTTGTAGCACTGAAACAGATTTCTGTGTAAGAGGCTCAGTTGAAACATTAGGTGGCCAAATATTTGGGGCAGTCTAAAACGCCATATATGGTGCACAGAGTACAGTAGAAGCAGTTATGCAGTGGCCGTCTATAAGGTCAGAGGAGGTCACGATTGCTTAATAACCTAAATAATTTAATAACTGATCACTGCAAATCAGGTATTGGTTGCCATCTGGAATAGTTTATATTCCATGCATTTAGCCTTGAGGCCTACAACTACTAATCAATATTTATCATCACCAGAGTCTGGAAACCTTTCAAATGGAGACCCATAAAGACTAGTAGAAATTGTATCTCATATGTGGCTTTTTTTCTACTACTTGTGCACTTCACATGCATGAAGGAGAAAAAAAATTTGATTTCCTGTTGCAGCACTGAAACATTACAAATTAGGTAGTGGTTGGCATTGCCAATTTTCAGCCTTGAGGCCTGTGACTACTAATCAAGTGATTGTTCAGAGTTTGAAATCTTTTAATTTGATTTTTTTTTTCTAATGGTATTGAAATCTGGGTCTAGATTGCCCAACAGCTTGTGCTCCCTAAAACTGTACTTCTTCGAAATACTGTTGTTTAACAAAACCATGGAATTTATTTAATTGCTTACAGCTTATATGATGATAAAGTGTGTAACAAGCATCAAAACAATGGATCGAGTGCAAGAGTGGGTAATATTGCTTCAGCCTTTTGAATGGTTACTTTGAAAGTTAAAGAGGATCTTCAGCCTGTTTGAGAAAAATTAAAGGACAGCAGCTACATATTCTATAGCTGCTGACTTGTAATAAAAGGACACTTACCTGTCTAAGGATCAAGCACCGTCTTCTCTCTGGCCAGTTTTTCACCAGTGTGTCCCCAGCTTCGGCATGTTTAGTGTGGGAAGCTGGTTGTGACCCCTTGCAGATTTATAGCCATCTTCCCATTATGCATGTGCAAGCCACGCTGCACTGTGTGAATGGGAAAATGTGGTTGGGCAGACTTCCAGTGGAAGTGGGGATCCAACCAGAAGCAGGAGTGGGTACCTACCAAAACTAGGTACCCACTCTCCCCCTAAAAAAAATGCCCGAAAAGGTTAGTGTAGGGGGAGAAGGACATAAAGCTTTAACTGCTGAGCCCACAGTAGATAATTGCTTTGCACTTTGAGTTAAAGTAAACCTGACCATAGCTTTCTGTACTTGTTTTTAATAACAATCAAGGACTTTGTAATGCCAGTTAACAGTTTTTTATGCATAGAGGCCATTGTAAGCTATTTTTTGCTTCTTCTCTTGTGGTAAAGCTCTGTAGCAATCTCTAGATAGCAGCTGTGAAACTCAATGTAAAAAATCTACTTTCCTTAGTTACACATTCACCCTAGATTACTTTATTCCTCCTTTCCCCGGGATTTTTGCTGTTGGCAGCATTTCTGGCCATGAACAAGATGATTTAGGGATTTAGAGCTAAACGTTCCTATAGGCATGTTGTGACTGCACCTAAGCAGCACTGTTAATTTAAAGACTTTGAATAGGATAGGTGTGTGTCTCATTGGAGAGATTTCCAATCACTTACTGTCTTGGAGACACAAGAAGAAGTGAAAAGAATATCCCCACAGTTAGGGGGAATTTTCCGAACAGATTACCTTATTGGAAAATTTTTTCTACTCTGTTCCTTTTGCGATGACCAATATAATTTTTGGATTTCCAAATTCTTCTGTTTTGGGGTACCACCGTGACTGAAGTGAGGGGAAAGCTCTCCAATAGAAAACACCTTAGTGAGTACAAGCTGAAATATTTTTCTATTTTTTTTAAATAATTGCTGGCTTTCCCCTCCTTTAAGACAGGAAGTTGGGGGAAATTTCCCCAATGGTTTTAACTTGTATGATTTAAGGGCCATTTTTTGCACTTTGGTGCTGTGTTACTTTAACTCCTGGCGGTATATGATTATTTCAGATTCTTTTGGTGCTGAATGCACGGTACCACTTTTTTTTGCATGGAAATATGTATTTTTTTTATGAGGCCACTTTCCCTTCAGAGGATTTACCCCCTTCCTGACCAGGCCATTTTTTGCATTATGGTGCTGTGTTACTTTAACTGACAATTGTGTGGTCATACACCCAAATGACATTGACATCCTTTTTTTTCCCACGAATTGAAAGTTCTTTCAGTGGTATTTGATCGCCTGTGCATTTTTTATTTTTCGCGGGTATTTTCTAAATTTTGAGGAAAAAAAAACAATATTTTTGACTTTTTGCTAGTAAACATGTCCAGTAAAAAAATTTAAAAAATCCAATTTCATCATAAATGAGCAAAAAATGTATTCTTCTACATGTCTTTACTAAAAAAAAAATCCCAATACGTGTAAATAATTGGTTTACGTGAAAGTTATAGCATTTACAAATGGCGATATATATACTGGGATTTTTTTTAGTTTTTGCTAGTAATGGCGGCACAGTGACTTATTGCGGGACTGCGGCAGACATTCTGACACTGGGGGGAACTGATTTGGAGTCATTGACACCATTGACAGTGATCAGTGCTAAAAAAAAAAAGCACTAACACTGTACTCTCCCTGTGTCTGCGTGGGTTTCCTCCTGGCAATCCGGTTTCCTCCCACACTCCAAAGACATGCTGGCAGGTGAATTGGATCCTGTCTAAATTGGCCCTAGTATGTATGAATGTGAGTTAGGGACCTTAGATTATACGCTCCTTGAGGGTTAGGGACTGATGTGAATGTACAATATATATGTAAAGCTCTGTGTAAATTGACGGCGCTATATAAGTACCTGAAATAAATAAATAGTAATGGCACTGGGCAGGAAGGGGTTAACATGAGGGGTGATCAAAGGGTTAACTGTGTGCTGGGAGTGTTTTACTAGTATCAGTGTGCTTCACTGTAATCACACTGGTTTGGATGGCTGTGCTGTGCTATATTTACGTGATTTTGCACACCGGTTCCGCTCTGTAGCAGTATTTCTGTATAGGGCAGTCGGTAAGCGGTTAACCACATGCCGCCCAGCCACTGTAGAAATACGGCGGCAGGGCGGCACGGCTGGGCAAAATCACGTTTTAAAACGTGTGTTTTGAAAACAGGTAGGGGGTGCGCGTGAGGCGCGCCGCCGCCCTACCTGTCCCGCCAATCACAGCCGTGGATGTTAGTCGTTACCGGCTATGTCCCGGCGATCGGCGGCAGTCGCTGACAGAGAGCACAGCTGCAGTAGCTGTGCTTTCTGTCAGTTCCCTGACAGCTCCAGGACATGCTGATCGGGACAGAAGAGTTTCTCTCTCCCAATCAGTGGTGTTCCCTGCAGTACACACCCCCGACCCCTAGTAAAACACTCCCCCTCACACAGTTAACCCTTTCTCTG